TATTGTGAGAAACAGACTTGTGAAACTAGTACAACTCTTAAAGATTAGCTTTAGAAAACTGGGAATTTCAGCCTAATTCATCAACTCCTCTAAGCTAGGATAGCAAAACCATATTATGAGTTTTCTAAATTTTGAATTCTGGAGAGGCAGAAAAAAATGGTATTTATAATGAGCATAGGAAAGATAGCTCCTTTCCAGTTATACTTTCTGCAGAAAGTATATTGCTGAACTTAATAAAACAGAGAACAAGATCATTATTTAAAATAATTATTTGGGTACCATTTTTGTGAAGGAATCTGGAGATAACTAGGCATCATTGAAGAGAAATAAAATCTATCAGTTGTGGATTTAAGAAGTCATTTACTGAGGCATACTTTTGGTCTTTATGCACTTTTCTCTGTATAGAAACTAGCAGATTAATGTATATCAAGAATAGAAATTGAAATTTATAATTCAAATTTAAGATGTAAGAGACCATTGTAAGTTTCAAAATGTTAATGTGGTATCTACTTCCACAGATAAGATTCTCAGACTGCAAAAACTACTATAAATTTTTCATTTTGAATTTTCATCTCATATTTTAATAGTCTATATAGCTAAGAAAATTATTCTTAATGACTAAAATAAATGTAGACAATTTTATGTAAAGACTTGATTATTAAGACTTATTATTAAGAAATTGTTTTACATTTAAAAGCAACATTTCATTGTGATTTTATAAAGTAATCACAATGATAATACCTAACATATTTTAGTATTTTTTATAGTTTAAAAAGCTAAAATAATATTTAAAACAAAGCAACCCCCCAAAAGTAGCAACTTCTTAATAAGTTACTTTTGAGTTGTTATTATTTAAATCCATAATTAAAAGAAAACTAATATCATCTATACTTTTTCTTCAACAGATTGGTTGAAAATAACTCATTATTACTGGTCACTTTTCTTTTTGCTTAAATATAGGAGCATTTCAATGACTTAGTTTCAATATATAAACAAATAAGAGATAGTAAGTGCCTGATTATACAGAGAGATTGTAGGTTGGTGGTCTTTATTTTGTATTCTGGTTATTGGCTATTACCATAATCTTACCAAGTTCTGAAGAATTAAAGCTAATTTCACTGAATGAATGACTTCTTGAACATGTTTTTCTAAGTAGTCAAAAAGATCCGAAGTATCTTTTAGCATCTTAAATGAATCTATGAACATCATCATGTTGTAAAATATCTTATTTTAGTTATATAAACTTTTGTTTTAATTGTTCGTTTTCATTTTGTTTTGTTGAGATAGGTTCTCAGTATATTACCTAGGTTGATCTTGAACTCCTGGGCTCAGGTGATAGATCCTCTTGCTTTTCAGCCTCCCAAATATCTGGGTCTATAGGCATATACCACCACATCTGGAGTAATACTCCTTTTTAAAATAGAATTTGATATCATCTTTGTTATTAATTATCTGTTCATAAAGTTTAGCATTCTAAAATCTTTTTATTTCCTTATTTTATGTATATGAAGCCTGTAACAGTGGAAATAGAATATAAAAATAAATAAGATTATGAGATTACAACTATCTAGCAGTTAATTTAAAATAGATATTTTCAAAATTTTAAAGTATTTTAAGCATATAACAATGTATGGAGAATAGGAATGTTATTTAAAATAGTTGCTTTTGGACCAGTTACAATTGTGAAATATGGTCAAATCTGTTCCATACAGTATTTACTAATTTGCATTATTTGCCAACACAAGCTCAGGAGATTTCACACAAAATTGTAGACTAATTTATCTTGAAAAATTTAAAGTGTTCCAGCAATTTTAGGTTTTCAGGAAACGACTGGGCACTCAAAGAGATGGAAAGATCAAAAAACTTTATTACACTGGCAGGCCCAGAGGAGATAAACTGTCCAAAATCTGAGTGCCAAGCTGAAGTTATGGTGCTCCTTTTATACAGAAACTGTAGAAGCAGAACAAAAGCAATTACTCAAGTAGTGACATCTTATAACTTAACACATCTGGGTGTCCTTGGTCCCGTGAGGAGAACCAGGTTCTCATAGAAACAGGATACAGCAAAACCAGTATCTTTCGAAATAGTGTTGTCAGGGCAAAAAAATAAACAAAAAACCAAAAAACCGAGCTGTTACAGGGAGGGGAAAGATTGAGGGGAAGGTGTCAGAGAGCATTAGTTATGGTCTTTAGTGTTTTATCTAATATTTAAGTTTAAGTTTTGCCTTCCTCTTCTGAGGTCAGAAGGTTTTATGTTTATCTACAGAAGCTGAGGGAACATTGTGGCTAAGAAGTAGGAGCATTATCCATTTGGTGGGCTTCAGGGTGAGGCAACTGGATATGCTTTCCTGTCAGGCAAGCGGTGAAAGCTGACAAAAACAAAAGGGGGGGCTAGGTTATTTTCTTTATTAAAAGCAGAGTAAGTGGTGCTTTGATTTTTCACAAACCTCATCTTCTGATAACTCCGTGTTTTATACTTGGTTTGTTTGTCTCATTGACTTTTTAAGAGTCCTGCGCAGTGTAGGAGAAAGAACGTGAGCTCTTAAAGACACAGTATACTTAAAGATTGCCTTTAATTCTTACTAATTGTGTGACTCTAAACTCTAGAAAATAAACGACTTTCAAATAAAGATGACAAAGATATATCATTAGGTTATAGGTAGGATGAAATGATGTGTGTCCATGAAGCATTCTGAGTGTTTTTGGATATATATTCATTGCTTGTGTTAACTATAATTAGTAATGCTTTTTGTTTGACCTCATTAAGTACGTGAATTTGATGATCCTTATTGTTCTTAGAAGACTTTCTCTTCATTAATTTGTATAACAGAATTTAGCAGATTCTTTATTAGGCTATAACTGATCATCTACATTTTTCTATCCTTTTCTCGATTATAGTCTGTATAGTTCCTTTATACATGCTTATTGATTTATTCACAAACAAATGATGACAATTATTTTAGATTTATGGATTCAGGATTTTCAGGATTTAGAAATCCTTGTTTAATGTTCACAATCAAATCTTTTTTCTTTTTCCTTGTCCTCTGCTTCTGTTCTTTTAGCCAAGTCCCAGGGGGATAGGACTTGTTGATATCTGCCTATGATTGTAGGTAGATGAGAGGGTTGGCAGGTTCTGAAGAAAATCAGAAAATATTTATTAGTGTTTTATAAGGTGAGCATTTTAGAGGAAAGTGAATGGGATGAAGGAGCATTTTGTGTTAGGTAAAGATGACCAAGGATTTGTGTTTAATGGGCATCTCTGAAACTTTTTTCCATAAATGAAAATCATATCCTATAAAATTAGGTGCTCATTTTCTTCAAGCTTGGTTTTCCATTTATTTTTCTGAAGTTCTTATTCCTTGCATGTCTTCTCAGACTTTGAAATTTAAAAAGATTGTATTATATTATTTTGAATGTTAAGTGATTAAACCTGGTTTAATATATGTATTAGCTTTCCATCACTGTGAAAAAATACCTACAATAATCAACTTAAAGGACAAAGGGTTTATTTTGGTTTATGATTTCAGAGACTTTGGTCCATGGTTGGTTTGGTTCATGCTCAATTTTCTGAAGTTTCCCACCTTCCCAAAAGTGCCATCAGCTGAGGATCAAGCCTTCAGCACACAGCTTTTGGGAGGCATTTAACGTAAAATTTTATAGCAGTTAGAATAATTGAGAATAAGAATATCTGGAATAAAAATTAGGGGGAATCCTCAAATAATAAAATGTAGATTGTCATTTACATAATTTTGTCTTTGCAAGTATATAACACCAGAGAAAAAAATCCATGATGGAGATGTAGGTATATTCCGGTACATAAAAATGAAAAGTTACTTATGTCACAAAAATGTCATGACAAGATAGATACACTTGGGAAAAATATACGTATCATATCATAAAGGCTTATAAATAATAACAATGACCTTCATTCACAAAAGACAATAAATAAATGCCAGAGAAACATAAGAAGCCTTTAGTAATCTCAGCAAGTATCAAGCAAACAATACAAAATTTGACTCAAATTGGTGAATAAAGAGAAAATATCCATTGTTAACAAGAACCCTGAAAATGAATTGTTTTATTATATACAAATTTTTCTGGAGCACAATTTGATGAATCATTACAAAATCTTACTATTTATTTATTTATTTAGGTACCAGGGATCGAACCTGGGACCTTGTGCTTGCGAGGCAGGCGGCGGAACCACTGAGCTAAATCCCTGGCCCAACAAAAATCTTACTTTTTAGGTAGATGTTTTAGTCCAGCAACTGCAAACCACAGTTATGTGAATTCATCTTAGGAAACATCATAGATATGACAGAGAGATACTTACTGCGAGACTGTTTATAGGTGTTAAACAATTGAGGGCCTTCTAATTGTTTATGAATAAAGAATTGGGGACATACATTGTGATGTATAATGGAATGCCAGAGATCCGTTGCAAATTTTCTTGTATTGGGTAGGAAAGTATTCATGAAAATTTAAAGTAGATTATTACAGATTTCTGTATTTTTTGAAGTTTATGTTATAAATGTATTATAGTAAAGTGAAAGGTGCTATAAATGAGATAAATTTCTAACTTGTGGTTCTTCTTCTTTCTTCTTTCTTCTTTTTTTTTTTTATTTTTTTATTTTGGAACTGAGTATCCAGCTTAGGACCTTGCATTTTCGAGGCAGGTGTGGTGCCACTGAGCTAAATCCCTTGCCCCTAATTCTGCTTTTTGTACAAAATTTTACTGAAACTAAATGTGACCCATCATTGAAGTTAAGGTTATAAATTAAGTTCAGAGTATGGGAGAAATTGTTGATATGGAAATTTTTGCCACCCTTTTTGCTCTTTTGCATAATCCTGCTAAGGTGTAATAACAGTTCCTGGAGCCTGTGAAAAACTTGTTAATGTCTGTAATGCTCATTTATTCATTTCAGTCTTGTATTCCTAGTCATTGCAAGAAGAAAAAGATAATGTAGTTATTATTTTTCTGTATATTTTTTTGTCTTGCAGGTAGTTACTTTTGGTGACACTGTCCAGTTCCCATAATGTATCATTCCTTATCTGAAACTAGACATCCTCTGCAGCTGGAAGAACAAGAAGTAGGCATTGATCCCTTGTCCGTTTACTCAAACAAGTCTGGAAGTAAGTTTTGTGTGTAAATGCTGTCTGCCAGTGCTAGGCAGTCTAGCAAGGCAACTCGAATTAGCTCTGTCCATTTTATGGGTGTAATTCTATGAAGCTGAACAGGGCAATTTTAAGAACACTTCCCTGAATACATGTAGAGCACTCTTGAGCCTACTGAATACCAGGAAAAGTCAGCTTTCAATTACAGACAGCAGCACTAGCCAAATGTTTAATATACTATCATTCATTAAAAAGTCATAAACCAAACAGTGACTTTAGCCTTCGAATGTTGAAATGCAAAGTGGCCTTTGTCAAGTATCTTTTTAAAAAAAGAATCCTAAACTTTTTGTTTGATTTTGTAGGGATTTTCTTCCCAGAAACCAATTGAGATTATTCCAGGATAAAAGATTTACCTGAAGCTCCTATTTCTTTTTTCATTTTTGTAAATAATTGAAATTTGTATTATAACAAATTGAGATTATTCCATGGTTAGTGATTTAACTAAATCTCGATTTCTTTTCTTGTTTATTTATGTAAATAATCGATATTTGCATCATGTTGACTGATAGAAAGCAGCTATCTGATGTGTATATATCAGAATCTGTATTATTTTCTCAGTATTTACTCAATGATAGTAATAACATACTTTCTTAGGAAATAATATGTTCATGAGTATTTTTGAAACTAGCTTTATTGTGTTTTATTAAATATTTGATAATATTCATTTCTTAAGTGACTTTTTAATATTTCACTCATACTATATAAGGATTATGATATTATTGTAAAACTTTATAAATTAGTCCACATAATTTATGGTTTTATGCTTCAAATAAAATTATTGTTCTGTCTATATTGATGCCATAAAGTCATGTTTCAAGAATTTTTTTTAAAAAATTGACTTGTCAAGTGGCTATTTCTTGAACATAAGGTTATTATGGAATGCTTGTTTCTTCTGTATTTTTAATACCTTGTGCATCATGAAAATGACATTGATTTTTTTTTTTTGGTATCAAGAATCGAACTCAGGACCTTCCACTTGCAAGGCAGGCATGGTGCCACTGAGCTAAATCCCTCGCCAGATATTGCTGTTTTTAATGGAATAGAATTTATTTATTTTGTGATTTTTTTTTTGATATGTAAGACTCAAGACTCCTTTTGAAGATTTTCGTGTTATAAAAATTAATTGACCATTTCATTTTCAATATTATCTCAGTGGTAAGCAAGTGATGTTTTCTTTTAAGTGCAATACTTGCAGGAAACACTCAAAATTAAATCAGGTAAATTATTGTGAGTTTTAAGACTGAATATATATTTGTGATAAAAGTATATAAATTCAACATTTTCATACTATTTCTGATTTATATGCTTATTTGAGGATGCAGTTTTCTGTTGTTTTTTAAAGGAATATTTTTCTTTGGTCTCTTTCATTAAATATTGAGGGGTTTTTTTAAACCTGGTTAAAAAACATTTTAAATTAATTTTAGCCTTTATTATTTGCAGGAATGAGTAGTTACCTTTACTGAAAAGCTTTTCATTTATGTCTTAGCCTAACATTTCTATGACATACTAAGTTATTAGGATTGAATTGATGTTTAAAAGTGCCATTAATTCATTTACCCCAAATGTTCATTAACAATGTAAATGTATGCTGATGCTCTATGAGACAAGGAAGTGACTAATGACTCTTCCAACTAACAACACTTAAAATGAATAGAAACTTTAGATAGCTAATCTTGAAGTAATCAAGGCCCTCATTCAGCTTGGCATCTCTGTATGCTCTAAAACAGCTGTCAACTGTTAAAAATATATACAAAACACACATACTTGCGCACACGCTTGCACACACACACATGCAGAAAGAAAGATATGTAAATATCTTGCTCTTCAAAGCTATAAAGGTTGCTAATGAAAGTGGGTTTTGTGCATTGTATATGTAAATATTTTATATCAAATGTCTATTTTATTTTAGATTTCCTTTTTCCCCCACAAAACCATGTATTGCATTTTAATGGGTTTGTCATATTTACCTGAAGAATCATCGTCTTTCTAGTATGTTTGTTTAATTTATGTCTTCATCTGGTTTCTTCAAGTATTTTGAAGCCTTTTACACATTTCTACTGCATCTTTAGTGAATTTATGACTACAGATGACTCATTTTCTAAGTTAAATATAAGATTTAGATCAGTAGTTGGACTGTGTAGAAGTCAAGCGAAATTTGAAAAATTTTGCTTTATATTCTTCCATTAGTAAACAAGATATTTTAAATTTCACAAATCTCTTAATATTTATAAAAAATCAGTACTATTAAATGATTTTGAGATTTTCTGAAAGGATTAGTAAAAAATAACAAGATAACTGTGGGAGAGAAAACATCATTGATTTATTTTCATACTTGAAAGTAAGAGTAGAAAAAAGAACTATTAACATACATGCAAAATCTTTCCTGTGAATTAAAATTTTTAATCTCTTGAAATTCCTTTTCAAATATGAGAACAGCATAGACAATATGATATTTTCTCTGTGCACTATTAAGTTTGGTCATATATATATATAAATTATCACCTGAAATTGCAAATTCTTTTACCAAAGTATAATTGACAGATGCCTTTAATTCAGCTAAAACCAAAACAAAACCAGAAAATATTTTTTAGACTTCATAATTTTTTGTTATTAGCATGTAACGTTTAATGATCAATTAAATGAAAAAGTAATTTATTTTTCACTGAAAACAGTATCAAGTTATAAGGAAATTTAACTGATTAAAATTGTTGGAATGAATGTATTTTTGTGAGTTTATGAGAGTTTGGGATGTGTTTATGATGAAAGAACATTGTCATCTCTTCAGTCTCTTTTGGGAATAGCATTTGTTGTACATTACTGTTACCAGGAGGGTTAACAGAAGAGGCCAGAGACCCAGCTTGTCCTGGAGAGGGCCTGTTCTTCCAAGGAAAAAATCCAACGGCAGATTACCAGGGGAAATTTATTAGGATGGAATGGACTGTACAATTAGTGAAAGTCAAAGTGTATTCTCAGGGCAGCAATATGGTTTGCTTTGTATATTCTTGTAAGATATGGGGTAAAGGTTGTAGTGATTGATCAGTTGATTTTTAGGGGAAGAAGATTTGTTGAAATGCTTAACAGCATAAGGGGTCTTGGCAGGCACCTTAAATCAGTCAGTTGTAAATATCTTGTCATTGTCTCTGGAGATTCTGTATGTATAATTGGTTGTCCACTCTTGCCAAGTGTTCCTTTCTCAAAAAGACCTTAGTCCTTAAGTGCAAAATGGCCTGTAAAACTTGACGGGTTACTCAAGAGGGCTTGGCCACCACCTTGTTAGATAACCAAAAATTTTAGCCTGAATTTATATGCCACAGTACTCACCTTTGTACTTAGAGCATTTTCAATTTATTACTATTTAATACATTTTTGCCTTTTTATATAAGATCTATTTAAGAGCTTTCTTTCAGTTTTTATGTATAAAGAATTTAGTAACCTATTTTAAAAAACGTCAGGTATTCAGAATCCTGCCAATTGCATTTTTGCTTCCTAGAAGTTTATTTTTGTCTCAGATTTTCCTTACTTTCCACTATACAGTGCTGTCATAGTTTTAGAACTAACTGGGTGTGCCTTGACTTTATTGATGAAGAAATTAGTAATAATTAAAATAATTCACTGAAGTTGATATAATAAAATGATGCTGTTCTATTTTGATCTTTAGTGTTTTTTCCCCATAATAGTAAATATAGATTTAGATTGAAGTAAAAGATGAATTTATTCTGCTGAAGATGTTTAGATAGCTGGCCAAAGTAGTATAGAAAGTTGTTTGGGTTACTTTAAATTACTGACCTAACCTAATTAGCTGGAGTCATTTTACCAAGAAGAAAAACCTTTTCACTTTCTGCCTTGGCTATAATTATTTAGTGGTTTACCACCTCACTCGTAATAAAATCTAAGCTCTTGACTATGATGTGCATGGCTATCTTCTTGCCTCTCTGGCCTTGTTCTGATGTGGTAAACCAGTTCTAGTCTCTGGGCCTCCCCACATACCACTGTTTTCTGACATTGCTCTACATTCCTTTATAGTGTCCTACAGAATATGTTACCTATGTTAATCTGTTTCCTTGTTTATTATCTCTTGTCTCAAGTATAACCTTTATGAGACCAGAAACCATTTGTATACCTAGTACCTGGTATATGTGCACCATTTAATAAACAACAGTCTAATGAATGAACTGAGCTTTACCAGTTTGGGCACCTTCACTTATATTCACCAATAATTGTTTAATAATATCTTTTCTCCATCTACCTTTCTTCTTTCTGTCATAAGTTTTGTGAAATCTGTTTCATTGTCCCTAAGTATTCTAGTACTTGAACTTTTCTTCCTGTAGGACTTAAGAAGCCAGTGTACTGTCCTAATTGACCCCTTTTGGACTCTCACTGCTCTTTTTCTGAAGTTCCTTTTAAAAGTCACTTCCATATTTCCCATTTATTGTGACCTATGTCAAAATTTCCACAAGTACAAAGAGAAGAGTTTCTGGTTAAAAAAATTAAAGTAATGATATCCTAGTCAGCCCACATTAATAATAACTTTGCAGGGGGAAAACTGACAATTTCTAAGCAATTAATTAATAGGCATGATTTGGGAGCTTAGAATATGTATATTATGCTTACACATAGAATGTCAATTTTATATACATAGCTCTTAATGAAAAATGTTTGAGACTAGTGTTCTAATTCCTGATCTCTACAGCGTATTTATGTGATACATAGAAAATATAAATTTTTTAGCATATGAAATTCCAAAGAATGACCAACCTATAAGTGGTGGTAACCCTGCCTCCTCCTTTTCTGGTACTGATACTGATACTGAACTAAAGGAGTTTGAGCTATATGCTCAGCCCTTTTTATTTTGAGACAAATTCTCACTAAATTTTCCAGGCTGATCTTGAGCTTATAATCCTCCTGCCTTAGCCTCCTGAGTAGCTGGGATTACGGTGTATACTACCATGAATGGCTCA